GCTAATAATATGTTTATCCCCATAAAAGACACATTTAAAGCAATAAAATATTCATATATAGATAACATATCCATAATTTATTTTTACATTATGGAAATTGGAAAAAATTTTAATTTCTAGTCCGTTATTTTAGATTCGCCGTCTATTTTGAATTTTTTAAATCTATATATATATATATATCTGATATCAAATTCGTAATAGGAAACTATGAAGACCCAAAAAACCTCTAGGGATAGAGTTTCAACAAAAATGGTTTGCTAGAAAAATTTGTGCAACGAAGGGTTAAAGAAGATTTATGAATGATCACGCGAGATATGGTAAATGAGCTGTAGTCTGTCGTATGTTTGTCCATTAAGTAAAACTGAATAAAAAAGTTCTCTACCTTTTTTATAATAATAGATATTCAGTTATTACTTAGATAACATTAATATATTATCGTAAGTGACTATCCGCAAATTACTTTAATAATTAAAAATTTAATTATTTATTAAAAATTGTCTTAAAAAATTACATTAGCTTGAATTAAGCTAGTTAAAAATTTTCAAGATCTTAGTAGATCTGATAGACTCATCAATTTAATAAGGTGAGAAATTTAAACATTATAAAATACTTATACAAGAAATTATCGTTAAAAAATTACATTAAGTTATATTAGGCTAAATCAGAATTTTCAAATTTCTTAATAACTTTTTAATAAACAATGAGGTTGGAACCTCTTGAAAATTAATCAAGATCATGATTTTAACAACCTATTTCAAGCTCGTTGAAATCGGTGAGATTGCACCTATTCTGCATAATTACTAATTGATTAACTGAGTCGAAAATTCCTTTATCATTTTTCAAGCAACCATGTGAAAATTCGAGATATTAATAAAAGATTAGCGAATTAGGGCACGATGCGGGAGAGATGCTAGACGGAGAACGCGGCTACTAGGAATTTCGATTTTTTAACATCGAGAAAATTAAATTATCAATAATTTTTTTAACTAAAAAAGAGTAAAAACAAAAATTCCAACCGGGCGTGAGCAAACGATGAGCGAACAAATGCATAAAGAAGAATTCCAAAATTTCGGTTTTTTTAATATTAGAGGTTAGTGTGTGTGAAATGGACCTCTAAGTTAAATTGCATATAACTTTTTAATTAGGAGGGAATGAACCAAAATTCGAAATTTAAGAGCCATTAAACGAGTCATTAAACAGAGCATTTGTAAACAAACAATAAGTAAACGAATGCAAAACGGAAAACTTTCAATTTTTTAAGATCGAGCAAATCATCAATAATTTTTTAACTAGAGGGCAAACAAAAATTCCAATGGAACATTCATAAACAAACGAGTATACAAATGCATAAAGAAAAATTTCGAAATTTCGTTATTTAACACTGAAGGAAAGAATAGTGCAAACAGTTGACTCTTTTCAATTAAATTGCATGTTTGTAATTAAGATCCTTTCCTCCTTAGGGAGAGGGAGGGAAAATAAGAATTTTAACGGGTCATTAATGAAAAAACAGATGCAAAAAGAAAAATTTCTTAACACTAGGAAAGAGGCTAGTGTGAAGTTAGGCCCCCAAAAATTAAATTTCGTATAAGTTTTTAACTAAGAGGAGATAAAGGAAAATTCTAATGGTCATTTTTTTTCGTAAATAAACAATAAGCAAACGAATATACAGAAAAAAATTTCGTCTTTTTAATATTCGGGGTTAATTTCATATAGATCGACGGGAAATCCTCGTGGCCATTTGTGGTTCACGCCCGACCCACGTAGACTCGCTTTGATCAACCATTCCCTTGATGCAAAGTTTCCCCACGTGTGCGTAAAGACGTAGGCAGAAATATGTCGTTAAATCATAATGCAATCCACCTTAAGATATCGAGGTACGTGTCCGTACAGCAAGAACGAGCTACAGAAAAAAAGAATGCGTATAATTAACGAGCCGGTCTATCTTAATCGAACGGAGTATACGCGGTTTCTCGTGGAAACCGCGTAGAAAGTACGACTATCTCCTCACGAGACGCCTACTTGCACAAACCGAAAGCCTCCATGAATGGTTTATGCAAAAGTCCACGGTGTATCGATAGCGATATTATCATGCTCGCGTTCATACCGCAGGTGCACTGATCGTAATTCGTGATGAATCTTCGTAAGACTCGCTCGAAAATCGCCCATTTATCTTTCGGCGAACGGCTTCTCGCGAAAGATATCGGGGACCTGAGATATATCACATTGTCGCGCTCGTGTTAACGTATTTTCACGGAGGTCTGCGAAAACGAATGCCATACGCATTCTTCGCATTCCGTGTCATATTTCTATCGCACGCGCGTAGAGACAAATTACAACGTCATTCCTCTCGAGACAGGAAAATATATTGGTAAAACAAACTGTATTTAAGTACATACTTCTACTCAAGATAATTAGAGACAAATGCTGAATAAAATTTTAATAAAAGTCCCTAGAGTCCCTCAGATAGAAATCTCATTCAGTTTTCAAGCAGTTACTGGACAATTATATTAACTTTTGTCTGGTAATTAAAGAGTAAACCTACACAGAAAATTTTGTAGTAAAAATTACATTAAAATTATTTCTTTATATATATATATATATATATATATATATATATAATGTACATATTTTTTCATTATTATATATATTTATATATATTTTTCGTAAAGCTGTTCTATATATTATAGTCAAAACTCGAAATAGGCTGTTTTGGCTTTTAATTAGTATGTTTTGAATCGATATCAAAAAATTACATTCTATTTATGAAACATTTTTTATTAATAATTGTTTAATAAACAAAGAGCGGTAGCTAAGACCAGCCTGTTGAAGATTACTCAAAATAATAATTTTTACAATATAAAATAACGGTTATTGAAAATGCTTCCACTCCCCCCCCTGCCCTCCTAAATAAGAATTTTACCGCGATTTTTTAGTTTCTAATCTTGACCAACCATGTCACACACACACACACACACACACACACACACACACACACACACACACACACACACACACACA